ATTTTTAATACATATATATATATATTTACATCTTAAATAAAAATATTCTTAAATAACTTTAAATGTTATGATAATTAGGTATTAAAGAAGAATGTAGAAATGGATGTAATGAAGCATGCCAGACGATGCTTAAGTTAAGAGTAAAATTAACTGTTTATAATAAAATAGTATATTCCTAAATTTGTTTGCGTAATCTTTATTTCAATGAAAAGTCGATTTATTTTATAAACAGATATGAAAAATGAAAATTCTATGATAGACATAAATTTGACGTTAAGGCTTGGAGAGGTAAAAATTGCATTGACATAAATGAAAGGAAATGTATCATTACATATATTATATGGTAGTTAAATGTGATTTTGAATATTTAAAAAATTATTTTGTATACAATTATTGCGAAATTTAAATTGAATTGTAAATATTTAAAAAATATATAAAAATGCTAACTAAATTTATTCATAACACATTCTCCATATTATCTTTCTTGTTTATATTATTCTGTATTTATAATATTATGCAGTATTTATAATAAATATTATAAATTTTCAATAGCATATTTCATATTATGTAAAATTGCAGAAATATACAGTCGTAAAAGACGTATGTTATGCTTGCTGCAAATTCATTACATACTAAAGATTTAATGATGCACGAAATGTATTACAAAAAAATTATCAATTATATAATATATTATAATCTGTTGAAAGTGAGTATTTGTCGGTCCTTTGCCAGTCTTTGTCTCAGCTTAGCGTAATAATGATGACGCAGTAACACAGTAGCTCACTATTCAGTCTTCAAGCTTCTTTCTACAGTCATCACTCACTGTAGATACACACGTACGTAATTGCTCAAACAGTAAGCAATTTGACTATACAATAGTGAAGCACATTTCAGAATCCGCTAATCAAACTTAACCTATCTGAGGTTGCAAAAATATTTGATCCACTAGGTTTTGTATCGCCAATTGTAATCAAGGCAAAGATATTCATGCAGGAGCTCTGACTACACAAATTACACTGGGACGAAGCTTCACCTGCACAACTGTCATCCCAATGGATGATCATTAGGTCAGATCTTACAGCATTGTCAAACGTAATAATCCCACGTTGGCTTAAAGTTACAGGCTCCTCTCGACAAGAATTGCATGGGTTTTCGGACGCATCTCAAAGGGCAATCTCAGCCGTCATATACATCTCTGTACAAGATTCACATGGGACCACAACCACCCTGGTATGCTTAAAGACTAAGGTGGCCCCATTGAAGAAGATCACAATACCACGACTAGAACTCGCAGCAGCAGCAGCTATTACTCTCAAAATTAACTCGCTACGTAGTTGCCACCTTACGAATGAACATTGATGCAATCCACCTATGGACTGACTCCCGAGTGATACTGGCATGGATAAAATCTCACCCATCCAAGTGGAAGGAATTTGTAAGCAACAGAGTGTCATCGATTCAAGATCTTACACCCAATGCCCAGTGGAGATTCGTTCCTGGAATATCAAATCCAGCAGACTGTGCATCAAGAGGCATCACGTCATTCCATCTTCAAGAACACCCGCTCTGGTGGAATGGACCACAATGGATTTCAAATAATAAGAATTGGCCCCGCCAGCCAACTCTGGATGACACTCAGTGCCAACAGGAGGCAAGACCTTGCACAACAATCACCGCAACTACCTTCAAACCACAACATGCATTGAAGTTAATTTATAAGCATTCTAGGATTGAGAAAATAATAAGAATCACAGCTGTCTGTATCTCATTCATAGAACGACTGAAGAAGGCTCGACTACAATCACCCTACATTCAAACGAACATTGAAGCCAGAGAAGCAGCAAGAATTTATTGGATAAAGGAAACTCAAACAATGTACTTTCAAAACGAGTTACAAGTAATGCTAAGCAACAATCACTTACCAAAATCACACGCATTCAGTCGACTAACACCGTATGTCGATAATCAAGGAGTAATCAGAGTCGGTGGTAGACTCAACAAATCATCAATTGAACAAGACCAAAAGC